TTAACGTTAATCCAGGGTGAACTCCATGCGCTTTTTAAGATTTAACCCTGGATTAGCGCTAATCGATCAACTACTAATCAAAATCAGATGACCACTAATGGGCTGGACATTTGACTTTTGATGGGGAGGGATGTGTGGATGACAAAAAAAATCATTCTAGTGGAGATTTCGCCCGGCAGGAAATATGTTTTTTAAAATCATCCAACCCCTCCCTTGGTCAGCCCCTAAAAATGGTACTAAAATCATTTCAACTTACCCAGGGAAGTACATGTCGACGGTTGCCATGAATATAGTGACAATGTCAAAGACAACATTTTCCTCAATCAGTGGATTCCCTGAGTGGTGAGACCTCCATTGATGCAAAGGTCCTTCAAAGTGTTTCTGAGCAGTGCCATCATCAGGAAACACATCGCTAAAATGAGTATTGAATACTCCTGAATATCGTTTATACTTTCGTTTTACTGTATAACTTGGCTTGTAATTACAGGTGTCAAAGGCAGACATGATTTTCCAATGATTAGCAAGTTGTATAGTACGTAAATCATCCCTGTTATACGATGGAAATTTCTGAACGGATGTTTTTAAATTGTCATCAACCCTTTGATTTTGGTGGTTCGGGCTTATCGATGTAGTATTTTGTAGCGCAAGGCCGGCTGAGCCTAAAAGTAGTTTTTGTGTTTGGACATCAAGGTTATTATCTACTTTAATAGCTGTAGATAACGCCGTSTTTGGGATCCCTGTAAACTTCTCCTTCCCAGGCAGCATCCACCGAACTCGAACTCTTTGTCCRTTGAACTGATTATTTCTGCCGTGTAGTATTTCAAAGTAGTAAGTTTGTCCTTGATTTAATTGTATTAGTTCTGATGTAGACATACTCTTTCCTCTTGTAAACATAATACCAAAAGCTACGTTTTGATTATTTCTCGCAATTAACTTAGCATTCTCGGAATGTGGAGTTGAACTTAACCAAAATTCYGATATTGAGTCATCTGAAAATATCTTAAACCTATACTYCCCTGTGATTGGTGGGTACAGAAGTCCCATGACTCTTTGCAATGACCAGAGAGTAGTTGAAATTGATTCTAGTTCACCTGGCATCTTTGGTTGACCTYTCACACTTGGCCATAGTGGAAACAATGGATGCTGTCTAATCTCATSGAAMGATATGGTGCACATCTTATACCATAGGTGCACATTGACATGACCTATTCTGTAGGCTTGTTGTATCTTTTGACTAATAATTTGACTTGTGGTGTTTTCTTTAGCAATAGTAGTTATATTAGGTGAAATWACTGKTTTTTGTATTATTGAAGTAGTATTTTCTGTTGGTAAAATAGAAGTTGTTGTTGCCGTTGTGRTTGTTGGTTCCGGTGTAGTTTCTGKACCMGTTGTAGTTGGTAGCGTCTCGTCTTTCATTATCTCTAATGTTTCTGTTAATTCGGGAAGTTCAGGTAAGAAGCTATCATCATTAGCAAAGCTGATCTTCTGTTGGCTAATGCTTGAAATATGAATGGGAATGTAAATCATTAATGTCAAGGTGATGATGCTAATCACAAATTTTGAACGATGCCTTATCAATTTATTGGTTACTATTCTGAACATGGTGGTTGAAGAGGTCTGAAAAAAAGAAACGAGATAAAGTCAATAATGGTTTGGGGGCTCGAGTACAAAATGCAAAAAAGAAAATGGAAAAGAAATGTTCAAAGTGAATTAGGGCGGATTTTGTAGGACAGTGCAAAAGGGACACGTGTCCATGCGTGACCGTGCCGTAACTAATAATTATATTATTTTCATTTGTTTTCACTACCAAGTCTACGTTTACTTCCGGTATTATCTTCGGTGCGACTGTCCGGGACGCAACGAAAGCTACACACGGGGGACGTTCCGTGATCGTGTTATAACGCGTGTCTTTTGATAGTCATGCGAAATCCATTCTTATTCTTAAAACATTAAGAAAATAAACAGATAAGTGTCTTACTAATTGGGGAGAATCAGACCCACACACGCAACTGGCCTCTATATGGCTATATTATATTCTATTATAGCGTGCCACATGAAAAAGTTTTAATTGTTAATTAATTAATCAAA